GCTGGAGGGGGACCTGGCCCTGGCAGACAAGGAAGTGGCCACCAAAGACAGCAAGTTCAAAATGCCCAAGTTCAAGATGCCCTCTTTTGGCATCTCTGCCCCCAGCAAGACCTTGGACTCCTCTATGGAGGTGAACTTGCCCAAAGTGGAAGCCGATGTGACCTTGCCCTCCATCCAGGGTGACCTCAAAGACCCTGAACTCCACATGCAGCTGCCTGAAGCCAATGTGGACATCAGGGCTGGCCAGATGGACATGACCCTCACCGAGGCCACCCTGCCCAAGAAAGAGCTACTGGCAGCCCCTGATGCTGAAGCTGGCCTTAAGGGGCACAAGCCCAAGTTGCAGATGCCCAGCATCAAGATGCCCAAGGTGGACGTCGAGGGCCCTGAGGTAGATGTCAAGGGCACCAAGCTGAACGTGAAAGGCAAGAAGTGCGAGGTGAACGCCCCTGACCTGGACGTGGAGTTGCCATCAATGCAGGTGGACACACAGGTTCCTGGTGAAAAGCTGGAGGGGGACCTAGCCCTGGCAGACAAGGAAGTGGCCACCAGAGACAGCAAATTCAAAATGCCCAAGTTCAAGATGCCCTCCTTCGGCATGTCGGCCCCCGTCAAGACATTGGACACATCTGTGGAGGTGAAGGCACCCAAGGTGGAGGTCGATGTGGCGCTGCCCTCCATCCAGGGTGACCTCAAAACCTCTGACATCAGCATCCAGCTGCCAACTGCTGACCTAGACGCCAGGGCTCGCCAGGTGGAAGTGACCCACACCGAGGACACCGTGCCTGAGAGAGAATTTCAGGTGGCCCCTGCTGCTGGAGCCAGCCTGAAGGGGCACTTGCCCAAGATGCAGATGCCCAGCATCAAGATGTCCAAGGGGGAGCTCAAGGGCCCCCAGGTGGACATCAAGAGCCCCAAGCTGGAGGTGAAAGGCCCCACGGTTGAGGTGAGTGCCCCTGACATGGACATGGAGCTGCCCTCTGGACAGGTGGACATGCAGGCCCCCAGTGCCAAGCTGGAGGGGGATCTGACCCTGGAAGACAAGGAAGTGGCCACCAGAGACAGCAAGTTCAAAAGGCCCAAGTTCAAGATGCCGTCCTTCAGTGTGTCTACCCCCAGCAAGACCTTGGACACGTCCATGGAGGTGAAGGCGCCCAAGGTGGAGGCCGATGTGGCTCTGCCTTCCATCCAGAGTGACCTCAAAACCTCTGACATCAGCATCCAGATGCCCACTGCCGACCTAGAGGCTGGGACTGGACAGGTGGACTTGACCCAACCCAAGGCCACCCTGCCCAAGGGAGAGCTGCCGGCGGCCCCTCCTGCTGGGGCCAGCCTGAAGGGACACCTGCCCAAGGGGCAGATGCCCAG